AGATCCTGACACGATCTGTCGCCCATCGGGTGAGAATGCCACCGTGTTGACCGAACCTGAGTGACCCGTCAGCGTCTGAACCAAGGACGCCCATTCTTTCTCCATTAACGGTATGGTAACCAGCCAGTCTGGGATCCTGTCTAGGTTTCCCTGACGGACAACACTATTCTCCGGACTGAACACTACAGCCGAACTGTAGCTTTGTAGTGGCCATGATGACACCGTTTGATAATGTCGGAGTAAGAACCGTTGCGCATCCAACACGTACGTGGAGAGGTCGGACTATCGATCCATTCTGTCAGTCACACAGACGATCCTATTAAACTAAAGACGTCAGCGAGACTCACATGAGCTGAATCAGTCGACATCTTGACCAATATCTTTAGCGCCTCCACGGCCCGCGCCGTCTCATCTAACCAACCCAAACATTCCAACCACTCTAAAAGTCGAGTTTGTAGGAAGGTTGCAAGGAGACCTTGACCCCGGAAAGCACGCTGGACAAGGTCATCTCCAGCCACCTCAAGGTGACGAAACCAGAATGTGGCGGCATAGCTAAGAGTGGCTAGCAATTCGAGCTCACACTGTGTGATCAACTCTCGTGATGAGTCAGGCCGTCTGAGGTCCAGGAGGTCCACCTTCAGCTTCTGACGTAGATACGCCAGACTGTTCATCAAAATGTCGCCGTGCTCGTAACGATCGTAACTGTCGAGTATAGCTCCTCCAGTCTGCCCCGCCAAGTAGTCTCGGGCGGATTGATGCACAAAATTGATCGTATTTCCTCGTTTCATCACAAACGATGCGCACCGTTCAATCCATTTCTCCATGTCTGGTTCCTCGTCGAGTAAACCGCTCACGCCACGTAGCTCCCGCACGTCCAGCGGGCGATAAGCCACCATCATCACCTTCAGCAACCGCACACATCCTTCAATGACAGACCGTTCACCGTCGCAGATCTGCCTCATGATGCGATCGTAGAAAGCTGTCAACCCAGGCGGCAAATCTCGAATCACACCCAACGCATTCTCCCGCTTGACGCTTTCGAGTTGTTTGCACACTAAAGTGACCCATAAGAAAGTATCTTGCGCTCTTATATGTAATTCGTCCTCAACAATCCGTTTAAGGCCTGGCCCATACCCTTGTCGTCGATCTAGTTCGACTACTTTGGACGAAATATAATTCCGAACCGCCTGAGAAATGTGGTCCGAGTTGAGTTCGAGGCTGACCTGTACCTGATCCCGTGCAGTGAGTAACTCTTGCTCCGCGCTGTCCAATGGTCGACTCGTCAAGAGCCACTTGACGCGAGACGGTCGATCCAACTCCGTCCGAACAATTAGCCTTAGCAGGTCCACCATCCCGCGATCTTGGCATTCATCCAATCCGTCCACCATCACGTAGAGGCGCGCACAGTCACTCTGATGCAGCATCTCCGTGAAGATGGCCCACAGACCCCGCCACGACGAGACATCCTCGGTGAATCGCAGAGTGGCCATGTCCCACCGCTCTCGCAGCGATTGTTTGACCATCGGCTGCTGTCTCACCAGTTGGAGGATTAGACCTTTGATGATCGCTTCGAGCGTGTTCAGTGCTGCGTCGTCGTTCTGACAGAAGAAGTATATCACCACCGTCGTCTCTTTCGCTTGTCGCGACCGCTCCTCCAATTTCTCGATGAGGCCGATCGACATCATCGTCTTTCCTTTGCCGGCGCCGCCTTTAATCCACAGCACTCCCACATCGGACCCATCTTGCCAGGAGAGATATTGCGAGTCCTGCAGAATCCAGTCAAAAGATTTATGAACCAATTTGTCTTTGTTCTCTTTCAGTAGATTTTTGACCACCAGTGAGTCCGGGCATCGTAAGGCAAGGAGACAGGTGCGATCGATCTCTTCGGTCGTGTGGCCTGTACATCGCAGTCAGTTCTGTCCCACCCACCCTGGAGGACTATAGTTATGCGGACTCGTATTCAACGTCATGTTGTTGACTTGGGTCGAATTAGCTTCAGCCCTGTTGCCCGTGATTTCAATTCTGTGCGTCATGGTGTCTCGTCAGAACGGATCCAGCGCATGTCATATCCAGTTGAGTCACAAGACCCTTGGAATGGGCATCGAGAGGATTGATTTTGACCGGAAACAAGGGAAACAGCGTCAGGCTGAGGCGCGGACCTGTTCAGCTGAAAGGGAGGTGCAACATCGAGAGCATTGTGGCCAGTAGTGGCTGTGTTGTGGCTGAATCCACTGCCCCAGTGCTGGTTGATAGTTGGAATCATGATTTGGTTCAACCTTACCCCGCTCCTGCCGGAAGCTATATAGGCTCGACGATCCCACATGGCACATCCATTGTACTAGAGTACTATACAGTAGTACACTATCTGCAGAATGGCGGGAGTAGGAGAGGCAGCAAGCATCTTGACTCTTGCAATCTTCGCCTTTGACATCAGCAAAAAGCTATATGAGGCCGTTTCCAGTTTCGAAAGTCGACGGACGGATATCCTAGAAGTCCAAAATAGCCTCACTTCCCTTGCCTCCGTGCTCGACCTGGTCCGACAGCAGATACAGGACTCGGGCGACGAACGCAAATACGAGCCTCTACGTCAGCCGATGCAGTGCTGCAAATCGACGTGTGAGGACATGCAAAACATGTTGGATGCATGCACTCAACATACGAATGATGTCCATGCCAGCGTTCGCGACTGGCTCAAGATGCAGTTTCATGGGAAGAGCTTCGCCGATATGAAGCAGCGGCTTGCGAGCTATAAGTCGACGCTGAGTATTGCGTTTGCATCCATCAATATGTACTTATCTTTCCTTTTGTATTTAACGTATAGCTGCGTGACAACAAGATACTGACACCCTATCAGTCAAGACCACCGTGCGACACAAGAATCTTTAACGGAGATGAAAGGTCTGATTAAAGGAACGAAGGAAGACCTGAATGATCAGGTAGAGAAGGTTGAAGAGGCCATTCACGATGCAGCGGAGTCGTTACAAGATCGTCTTCGAGCCGATAGTGCACAGTTAAAAGGTGCTCTTCAAACTCTCGCGCAAGCACAGCAAGTGGCGAGTACTACACGCCCGCAAATTGTGGTTAAGCAGAATCGAGCAGGGAAAGACAGTCGCGCAATCTTCGGCACAGACGTTTTGCAATCCCCTTTTGATCTGAGGGTGTCGGGCAATGTGGCAGAAGAGAGGGCGACTATGGCCGCTGGCGTCCACAGCTCAGAATCCTTGCAGGCACTATTGCGTGCGTCTGGAAAACCAGAGGTGGTCCTTGTGATGCAGACACTACAAGGTCAACTGCGCAGACCCGACACAGACATGCCACAAGATGGTACGAGCAGGTCAGAGGTAAGCCAGCAAATACTGTCGTTTGGTGAGAGACGATCGATCGAGCACCATTTACCCCCAAATAACTTGTCCGAGGAAAGCTCATTACCGCAAAGGAGCAACATGCCAGGACAATCTAATGACTTAGCATACATGAACTATCATGGTTGAGGTCTTCCGGAAGTGGTGTTGTGCTTCGAGCGTCGGGCGGCTTTCGATAACATGTTTAACGACTACAATTTTGAGTTGGGCAGTTCACGGCTTTCGTTTATGGGGTTTCACTGGGCAGTACAGATGCCGGTGCTTCGCTTTGGCAGCTGGCCCCTGTCTCAAAGCACTCCTGACTAGGGGTTTATATCCGCATATCATTTTTCTTGACATGATATTGTTGAAAGGGGTAGCTTTGAAGCTTTGATTCAGAGAGGTGGTATGGCTTATGTGCCCCAATAATGTAATGTTCTCGACACTCTAACCCAAATATCAGCGTCTTTGCGTAGGTGTGAAATAAAACACAGCTCGGAATGTGATTACACTTACATTAATCGATATCTTTAAAGGCTACGGTTATCAGTTAGGCTAGTAAGTTCTAAGGTCTCGAGCAGCTTAAGCTATAGATATTGAACGCGAGGTAATTAGGCCTGCCACAGCCGTATAGCTCCTTTTAATTATAATCCTCTAAAAAAATTCTACTTCTATAGAATCGACGACTAAGTATAGTCGAGAATACTTCCTCTCTAGAATATAAGACTAACGTTTTAAATTTTAGTATACGCTTGAAATATTTTCGTATTCGCGCCTCCTATAGCTATAGATAGCTTCCTCTTCGTCCTTAACTATACTAAACCTACGGCTTTACCTTAACCGTAATTAAATAAATAAGCTTTTACCTCGTCCTCGATTATCCTCTCGATCTTTTATAGTATTATCTAATATATAAGATTAATTAAGATTATATATAAAATTACGAGCGATTATAGGTTCACGACTATTAATACTAAATAATACGAATATTATATTATTCTACTAAGTTATATCCCTTTTTTATACGGATACGTTATCTTAAAATATCCTTATTTATTTATTTAGTCTCGTTTAACGTCCTTCGGGTCACATTTAAGGTCCCACGTAGACGCTTAAAATATCCTTAAAGGATAGTTAGCGTTTAAAATAATATTATTTATAGATAAAGAGACTAACTAACTACTACTTCGTTAATCGTTATATCGCTATAAAGGCTATCTAGTAGTTTAATATATAGATATATACTATTAGCGTAGTTTAATAGTAGATCTATATTCTATTAAGGAGAATTGACGATGGCCACACCACTGTTCATCGCGGAACTTAGAGTGCTGCTACAGCAGCTCAATAGCAATATCAGCAATGTTCAGAAAAAGTGTATTAACACCTACGCGGCCCAAGGGGTGCTGCAGGACATACAGAAACTCCTCAAGAATGAGGATATACGCGAAAAACGCGAACCTGACGCGAGCACGACGCGTCAAGAGCAACCCTACAGCACGCGCCCAAGGGCCACACAGTCCGAAGGGGAGAAAAAGAAAGCAGGTAGCGCTATAGGGGAATCGGCTGGGGCGAAGCGAAATACAAATAACGAGTCAGGACTTCAGCAAAACCAATGGAGCACAGTCGCACGAAAGGCAAACAGGGAAAAGCCGGGAAATGTACAGATCCAAGCCACTCCAGTAAAGCGAAAAGAGAAGCAACAACCAAACACCCAACAGAAGCCAAGAATGGAGGAACCGCCGATCAAGTACACGATCACGAAGGAGTCGGAGTGGAAGCCCAGACTGGACATGTCACCGGCGGAGCTGGTCAAGGAAATTGAGACCAAGGTCGGACAACCCATAGCCAAGAGGATTATGGCTATCCGCATATACCAAGGAGGAGACATGAAAGTCTTCCCCCAAGCAGAAATGGGGCCGGAGCTGAGGAAAGGGGATGAGTGGGCGAAGAAGTGGCTCAACTCAGCCAGGCCCGCCACAAGGCAGTATGAGTTAGTGGTCTCCAGAGTACCAACGGGCCTAACTGCAGAACAGACAGCAGAAATATTAGAGGAACAAAATGACCTCCGATATAAAGGGCTGGAGCTCTGGAAAGCAAGCTGGCTCGGCAACCCGGTGGGCAAGCGAACGTTGCCCCTAAGAGTGATAGTCTCGGACATAGAGACTGCGAACAGGCTAATTGTCAACGGTTTAGTACTGAATTACAATGTCTGCACGGTATCGAAATTCAGCAGAGGAAGGAGAAGAGGAGGATCTTCACCTATATTCAAGACGAGCCTGTCGAAGACGGGGGAAGGCACGAGCGAGAGCACGATTACCCCAGAGAACCCAAGAGATCTGGTGTTATTCTCACACATTGGACACACCGCTGAGGATGTCAGAGGGAGAAAAAGACAGGCCTCGGAGAGCACCCTCGAACGGGACCAAGAGAGGGGGAGAAGAGGCAGGCCTACAAGGGCCTCAGAGTTTGCGAGAGAGTTACCCAAGGGTAGCAACCCCTTTGAGATATCTAAAGGACAAGAAAATACCTAATTATCCCAAAGGATGGAGATCGACCTCGATAACTAATGACAGGACACGGCCAAATAAAGCGAGAACTACGCATTATCCAGTATAATGTCCAAAGGTCCGCAGACAAGGTGATGATAGACTTCTTCGCCGACGAGAGGATAGAAGAGGTAGACATCCTAGCGATTCAAGAACCATGGAGGAATCCGTACGACGGATCCGGATACAATCCGACTGGTGGAAGCTACAGACTTATAGAAGTATCGTCACCAGATACCAGAGCGGCAATCTATATCAACAAACGGATCCCGGAAGACAGCTACGAGGAAGTGGTGATCGCTAAAGACAGGGTCACTATTAGACTGAAAGTACAGGCGAACGGGGAGAAGAGGGGACTCTTAGTCCACTCGGTCTACAGCCCACCCCCGACTTCACACAGTGTTCAGGAACAAACTCCACAACTCCGAGATATTCTCCAGGCTATTCAGACAGATGAGGAGCAGGTCCTGGTTGGGGACCTGAATCTGCACCACCCAGCCTGGGGAGGGCCAGGGGTTATTCCACACAAACTCGCCGGAGACCTGATCCAGGCGGTGAAAGCCCAGCAAATAGAACTAGCTCTACCCAAGGCGACAATAACCAGAGATATCACGAAGCAACGAGCCAACGGGACGACAAGAAGAGAAACCTCGACGATAGACCTGGTGTACTGCACGAGAGCAACGTGGGGAAGACTAGTCAAGTGCCACACAAGACAAGACCTAGGAAAGGGATCGGACCACTTACCAATAGAGACAACAATAGGGCTTATCCAGAACCCGCAACAGGAGGAACGATCAAGATATCGTTGGAAGAAAATAGACAACCGGAAGTTCTCCGAAGCCTTTCAAGAGACAATAGCCGACTTGACAAGTCGACCCCTAGAGGACAAATACGACATCGACCTATACGTTCAAAGGCTGGTGGAAGGGGCCCAGGATGCGGCGAGGGTATCTACACCGAGAGCAAAGGCTAGTAAATACGACAAAGCGTGGTGGACCTCGGAGTGCACTGAAGCCGTGGCAAAGGCAGCCAAATTACGCTGGACCGCGTTCCATACTCAACAATGGGACGATATCCTTAAAGCACGGAAGGCGAACGATAGAAAGGGGAAGACACTCCGCAAGGCAAAACGGGCCGCATTTAGACAGACTATGAGCGAGACATCAAGGGACCCATCCAAGATATGGAAACTCTGTAAGTGGGCAAAAGCCAGGGCGCAAGGCCAAATCAGACAAGACTACTTCCCCGCCCTAAAGAGGGACGAGCAAACGGCAACCTCCGTGGAAGACAAGGCGACGATGTTGCGAGAAGAATGCTTCCCGCCTCCGCCGGAGGTGGACCTGACCGACACCAGCGAGTACAACTACCCACGCGAACTCTGGACACCAGATGAAGTTAGCGAGGAAGAACTGACTACAGCGGTCTCAAGACTGAAACCTGATAAGGCTCTGGGACCAGACGGTATCCCAAACAGGCTAGTAAAGCTGATCTACAATGAGGCGAGGGGTGAGGTCACAAGGCTATTCACAGCGTGCCTACGCCAAGGATACCACCCTTGGGCATTTAAGACAGCGGACACGGTGATGCTGCGGAAGCCAGGTAAAGCTAACTACTCAGATCCCTCCGCCTATCGCCCGATAGCCCTCCTTAATACCTTCGGAAAAGTCCTTGAGTCTGTTATAGCTAGCAGGGTAGGCGCGCTAGCCGAGACCTTCAGCTTACTCCCGGACACACAGTATGGAGCGAGACCGGGAAGGTCAACGGAAACAGCTCTCCTAAATATCTGCGAACAAGTCAGGGCGATCTGGAGGAAAGA